GCGTCCAATCGGCGGCCGTCAGCCGGTCGTTCGCTGCAACGGTCGCCGTCAGGATCTGGCCCTTGTGCGCCGGTAGCACCGTCTTGGGCGCGGCGTAAAACGTGTGCGGTACCGAGGATGCTGTTGCTGCTGCCATCGTCGTCACGCGGTACTGGGGCGGCGTCAAGCGCGGTGCGTCATCAATGACAAAGCCGTCCGGTAGCTGGAACGGTGGTAGGGCCAAGACCGCTCCCCACAGCTTCTCGAGCCATGGGTTCAGCGCACCGTGGAAGCCCAGCTCGTGCTGGTCATCGCCGAGTCCGCGCTCGAGAATCTCGGTCGCGCCAAGCTGCACCAGGCGCGCCTACCATAGTGATAAGTATATGTTGCACGTTGAAGCAAACCGACCTGCAAGCGGCGGGCTACTGCGTTGTACTTGGCGTAGCTCGAGTCGCCGAGGCCAAAGATGGCGACACGAACGTTGGCCAACGAGTCGGCGGCCAAGCTCTTGCGCAGGAGGAACTTCCACGATTGCGCCATGTTCTCGGGCGCTTCGCCGTCGCCGCTGCTCGCAACGACAAACACGACGTAGCGCTGGTTCGGAAGCGACGCGATCGGAAAGTCGTCCATCGCAGAGACAGCGCATGGGACCTGGCGCGCGGCCGCCATGCGACCTACCTGCTCGGCGACGTCGGCCGCCGTGCCCGTCGCGCTCCCATACAGCACGTGCAGCATCGGTCCGCCTTTTTTGGATTGGCCCTTACCCATTGCCGCACCTGATTGGCGGAGGCAAACGCGCAATCTCATTGGCTGGAGGCTCGCGCCTGGCGATCCGGCGGGAGCTTCGCGAACAAACGACCGAGGACCAACAACATGGTGACCACCAACGACCTCCAGCTCCGACGACGCCAGACTCAGCTAATAGTGACGGGTCCTGGCCAGCGCCTACCTAGAAGAGTTCCTTCTGGCCACATGCGCCAGGCAGAGATGCATCGACGATGTTGAAATGTCGAAGCCGAGATGCGCTCCAAGCAAGCCAAGAAGACGACACCACCTGCATTTTTGAAGCGATCTCTGCCGCACGACACAAACCATGCGCATGTATATTTGCTCGAGCATGAAGATTCGCACGCCCGGATTCGAACACGTTAGACGCAAGCGCTTGCAACGGTCGTGCTCCGAGCTTGGATTGCGTGCGTCCAACGAGAATTCTGGGCCGACAGCGGGCGCGACGTCTCGAACCGAGCACCTCGTCGGAACTGATTTCTGGAACTTCAGAACGTATTTCAAGTTGAAGTTGTCGCTCTGCAGTTCTCTGCTTTCCTAGATGCTGAGCATGGCGCTGTTGCGGCAAGGCTCATCGGCGCTTCTTCAAGCTCTGTCCCAGACACTGATGCGGAGACGCTGGATCGTCTTAGGCGACTGGTCGACCAGTGCGTTGGCGAGGTCCAGTTCTTATTTGCTACTTTGCAGTTTACACCGAGAACGAAGAAGGGCCATGACCAAATGCCACTGTAAACGGCCGCGATCTGGAGTTCCTCCGCTTCCAGCACCGCAAGCGCGAGGAAGAATACCGGTAGCTGCACTTGCGCGCTGTAGTTTAGAGCGTTGCAATCTGGTACACACCATTCCGGATCAACCTCGGGCGCTTGCGTCCATGGCTTGCGTCGATAATTTGTAAGATGGACTTTAACATTGGGTCTGGTGAGCGGCAGACGACAGCGGCGTGAGTGATGCGCGACAATAGACGCGGCAGATCGTAGAAGAAACGGACGCGGGTGCTTTTGGCGGCCAGGTGCGTACAACATATATCTCCTTCGTCAGGTTTTGGCGTCAACGGTGCCAATGCAAAGGAGATCGAGGCAGCGACCAATGCTTCACCGCCACTGAGACAGAAAATGCTGGTACGACTCGACGACCGCAGCACTACAGAGGCAGCTGCAGTCAACTGCCCGTACAGGCAAATGTGAGACGCAACCTCGCAAAGAGCCACTTGGTAGACATCGTCGTCTACCGACTGCTAGACTGTGCTTGAGCGACAACCTAGCGTAGCTTGAGCTCGTAGAGTCTTGCTCCATGGGACTGGGGCGCCTACCTAGGGTCGTCGCGCGTTGATATCGACCGATACATGCATGCTGGCCTTGCCACCACACACGCTACGGAAACGACCGAGGGAGGCGTGTTTCTGGAAATCTGAATGGCCTATGCGTGCAAGTAGTATGGAATATGCAGAGACACCGACTCTTGGAGGGCTTGACGCAGACACGTCTACGACGGCGACCGGTGTTTTCCTAGCCTCAAGCGCGGCGATATCAGGGCCCACCCACCGTCTCAACAGGGAGTGGAGCCCAATGCTTTGACTGCCAGACAGGATGAAAGCGTTTGTGCTGCGTGCTGGGTTGCCAGTTTTGCTTGGATGCGCACCAGCCATTCTGGTTGCCATTGGCCAAGACAAGGTCGGACAACGAACGACTTGTGTTGCGTAATCCAATTTGACCTTGGCGTCAGTTGGTTTTGCGTTAAACGCCACGCCAACTTGCGCCGAAGGTGGTGGGCCGACGGGATTTGGTGCACTGCGCTATAATAGGAAGCGCAAAAGCCTTTTCTACGACCACTGCCCACCTCAGCGCAATTAGAAAACGTGCGTGACGTTCAGTACACTGCTGGTGCGATGAAGGCAGCCTCGGGGCAAGGGGCTCCGGGACCGTCCAATTTGCAGTGAGTCATCCGGTTGCTGAGTCATTGGTCCTACCCTTGAGTCATCACAGCGGTAGCACCCGAGAGAGAGCCGCAGGTCTTTACAAACCCTTTCCTTTCTACAACGTGAAAGATCTCTTCTCGTCTATTGAGCAATACTGCTTTGCAGGCTCTATTTTTCATATTTCTTGTACAACTTTTCCGCACTCCTGTGCTTTCCTGTTGTTCGAGGTGACAGACAGCACCCAGCCTTTGGAACCCAAGACCACCAAACTCGGCTGGCGATAGCAACAAGAAAGCCCACTGGTGCTCCAAAGCTAGCCCACACCGCTTTCGGCAATGGCTGGAGGCAAGCGTAAAGACATGCCAGAAGCTCGGACACATGCAACCTCGACTTGCCACAATATGATCGGCATTGGTAGAGCGTCCGCCCAATCACGGCGCGAGCCATAGCGCGAATCAGCGTCTGCTTGAGTGAGCAGCTTTTGCTGTTTGCTGGCAGCGAGTGGAGGGCTCCATTGCGCAAACCACCGCGGTACCAGTATCCGTCCACGCTCGAAAGATTAGTCTACTGCGTGTGGCCGCGACCCAACTTCAACCTGACTCACCTGGTGACACCCACTCGCAGCGCAGTGAGTCACGTGGGCGCGAGCCAATCATCGCCTCGTTGGCTTAAAGGCCAACCAAACCTCTTCCCCCTTCAATTGCTGGCCGGACAGTACAAGTTGAAGATTCCGCCGAATGACTCAGAAGCTGTGCGTAAAGCCATGGCCGGCCAACACTGCGCGATGCAGTTGCATTCATTGGTATAGTAGCATTTAGTGGAATTTCACTTTGGTTGGCCAATTACCCTGCACAGGATCATTTCATGCAGATATATGCAATTTCATGGCGCACGTGAAACGCGTTTAAACACCACTGGCCATGAAGCGGCCGGATAATATCGGCCGCGGATTGGTCGAATCGAAGAGAGGCAGTTGACACATGCTGCGACGAGAGCGAGTCAGCAACCCGTGGGCAGAGTTTCCAAGAAGACGCCAAGAAGCATGTCGACGTCGACGCTGCATGACGCCGAGGCAGAGAAGCGCCTCAAGCGCCGCGAGCAGTGGAAGATCAACCAGCGCAACAGCCGCCTCAAGCGCATTGGCATGGCCAAGACGCTCGAGGCCCAGAACGAGGCCAAGGCCAAGGAGAACGAGCGCCTCGAAGGCGTGCTGCGAGCGATGCACCAGCAGAGCCTCGCCGTGCTGGAGCGCCACCCTGTGAGCGGCATGGCCGCCGTCCGCGTCATCGAAGAGTACTACCGCGTCTTCTCGAACGGGTTTGCGACCAACAACGTTGCTCAGCAAACGCTCCAGCGCAATTTTGTGCGATCCATCATGACGGAAGACACGTGCTTTATGGATACACAGGGCGCGGAGAGCGTCCTCGAGCAGTGGCGCCTAATGACGAGCTCCCACCACACGCTGCGCATCTTTCCGCTCAGCTGCGAGCTCATGAAGGAGGGCGACGGCGTCGTCGTGCGCGCGATCTCGCGCTACATGTGCCGCATCTCGCGGAAGACGCTTACGACCTTGTACCCGCATGTCCTCGTCAACGAGCGCCTCGTGCAAGCGCTCATCGGCATCGAGGTCGATGCGATTGACACGGTGCACTCGTACTTCGACGACGACGGCCGCATCGTGCGCCACGACGTCGTGATTGACTTTGTCTCGCCGCTGCTCAAGCTCCTCGGCAACGTCGCCGACGTGGCCTCGGTCCTCTCGGGCGCCCACTTGACCTCGATCGGCCTCTTTGATATCGAGCGCAACCACGACTCGCCGCTCTTGCGGCCGCAAGTCAAGACCGAGGCGGACCCGGTGTCGCCGCTTGCGATCGGCGAGCCGTGCGCCAAGCGCCAGCGCCGGGACAACGACCTCCACCTGCTCCTGTCGAACTGAGTAGCCTGTATCTATTGCCACGACTTGAGTCGTGTTAACTATAATTAAGTTGAGCCACCCGTTGGGTGCAGTCGCGCCGCCGTCGACCGATCGACCGCCGTCCCAGCGCCCGCGTCGTAGCCACCACTGCCTCGTCGCACGACTTGACGTTCGAATCTTCGAAGACCGAAGTTCGAAGGTACGAGAACGAACTTCAGCGAGCCGCGTGATCAACAATGTGGCGCGTTCGCACTTGAGCGGACTGCAACCATGTGCTACGTAAAGAGGCTTTTTATTCGCACATGCTTCTTAACTACCGGATACAATCCGGATATAGATTGCCGTGGATCTGCTCGGCGTACGCTCGCACATATCGGCGCCAACGGGCGACTGCCAGTCGCCACTTTGTCTTTGCCTTTGCCCATGACACTCACCTCCGCCTTCAAGGGCCTCTTGCGCCGCCCGGACTTGATCCAGTCCCAAGGCTACATTGGTGGCCGCTGGCTCAATGCTATCTCTGGTGCGCTTCCATGCAACAGCAACCAGTGCCACTGACCGATGCATTCTAGGCGCCACGTACACGGTCCTCGATCCGTCCCTGGATGCGCCCTTGGGCGACGTGGCGGCCATGGATGCGGCCGATACCAAGGCGGCGATTGATGCGGCCGACGTAGCGTTCCACGAGTGGAAGAAGACGACGCCCACGCACCGCGCAGCGATCCTCCAGAAATGGGACCGCCTCCTTCGCGAGAACGAACTCGACCTGGGCATGATCATGGCCAAGGAGAGCGGCAAGCCGATCGCCGAGGCCATTGGTGAAGTGTCGTACGCGGCCGACTACCTCAAGTTCTTTGGCCACGAAGCACTGCGCTACGAAGGCTTTATGATCCCGAGCCACGCGGCGGGCCGTCGCATGATGGCCATGCGCCAGCCCGTCGGCGTCTGCGCCATGATCACGCCGTGGAACTTCCCCATCGGGATGCTCGCGCGCAAGGTCGGACCCGCGCTCGCGGCCGGCTGCACGGCCGTCGTCAAGCCCGCCGAGTCGACGCCGCTCTCGGCGCTCGCGTTTGCCAAGCTCGGCGAGGAGGCCGGCGTGCCTGCCGGTGTCATGAACATTGTCCCGAGCCCGCGCGAGGCCGCGGCCGAGATTGGCCGCACCCTCTCGACGGCGACGCAGGTAGGCTGACCGTTGCGTCTATCGTTCGTTTCTCATCCTGTGATTGTTTCTGCGGCCACAGGTGCGCAAGCTCACGTTTACGGGTTCGACAGTGGTCGGGAAGCTCCTCACAGAGCAGTGTGCGAGCACGCTGAAGAAGGTGTCGATGGAGCTCGGCGGCCTTGCGCCGTTCATCGTCTTTGACGACGCCGACATTCCCCAAGCCGTCGAGGGCCTCGTCCAGGCCAAGTTCCGCAACACGGGCCAGACGTGCGTGTGCCCCAACCGCGTGTACGTGCAGGAAGGCAGCTTTGACGCGTTTGCGGCCGCTCTTGTGGCGCGCGTCGCGCAGCTCAAGCAAGGCATTGCGCACGAACGCGGCTTTGACCTGGGTCCGCTCATCAACGCGGGTGCGGTGACCAAGGTACGCGTCGTCCTCTTTTGTGGTCTCCACTGAGTTCTGAGGTGTGTGTGTGGGATAGTTGACGGCGGTTGTCGAGGATGCGGTCGCGCATGGTGCGACGGCGCTGCTTGGCGCGACCCCGAGCCCGCTCGGCCCGGCGTACATGACCCCGACCGTGCTCACCAACGTGACGCCGGCGATGCGCGTCGCCAACGAAGAGTGCTTTGGCCCGATCGTCGCGCTCCAGAAATTTTCGACCGAAGACGAAGTGGTCAAGGTGGCCAACGCGACCGAAATGGGCCTCGCCGCCTACTGCTTCACGAAGGACCTCGGTCGCGCGTGGCGCATGTCGGAGAACCTCGAGGCGGGCATGGTCGGCATCAACGTCGGCCTCATCTCGGCCGTCCAGGCGCCGTTTGGCGGCATCAAGCAGTCGGGCCTCGGTCGCGAAGGCTCGATCATCGGCATGGTACGACATCTATTTCTGAATCGTGTCGGATGGTGCTGCGTAGGACGACTACACGGAGCTCAAGTACGTGTGCATGGGTGGCCTCGCATAAGCAACCTACTACGTAATAGAAGTCTAGCGTTCATTTGCATGGGGCTGCCGCGCCGGAACCGGTTTTGCATCGCGGTTGATGGCTCGTTCTTGGTACCGCAAGTTTTGGTGATGCTGGCTCTTGTGCGGGAGGCTCGAGCTCCGCCCTCTGCGGCGCAGAACCGAGGCCGCTGGCTCAACGTCGGGAGACTTGCGCTCCAACTTGGACGCAACCGGAAAATATCGACCACCAACGCAGTGGAAAGCGCTGCACGAACGCAACGAGACGCGCATCATGAAGTGGTTAACTATGACAACCAGTCTGGTGCGATTAGCTGGCCACGGCGCTCCCGCTATGTAAATTCGCGAGGGCAACTGAACGCTGAGAGAGCGCTGCATGTGGCACGCGCCGACATAATCGAGGTCTGGGTCGCGAACAATTATTCTTGCATCGGGAAGAATGTTCGAGTGACGCATGCGCTCATGATCGAGGTGTCGTCGCCAACTGTGCTTGTGGTGGGTGTTCCGTGCATCGTTAGTTCCTTGTCGTAGGAAGGTGGTTCCTCGGTCTGTGTTTGAAGCATCCACACGCTCTTGCAATCAGGAAATATCATTGGCTCGACGTCGATTTGGCGGTTAAAGTCATAAGACTTGAATGTCCTTGACGTTTAGAGTCCATCATTACCTGTGGGTGGATCCCACGTTGACTCACCCGTGCGGGTGTTGTACCAGAACACAGCGCCGTTTTCTTCCATTTGCTGCCACTCGGGCGTCGTGTCGACATCGTCGGGCGGTGCGGGGTTGGCGGCGGCTTGCATCTCGCGCCACCGGATTTCTTCGACGAGGCCGTCGGCTTTGGCCCACTCTTTGGCCTCGATCGCCTCCGCCAGCCACGCGGCATGCATGTCGCGGCCAGCGTACGTGAGAGGTCCTCGTTCGTCGGCCGCGTCCAGCTTGGCCTTTAACGTTAAAGGCATGCGGTTCGCCGCGGCCTCGTCGTCGCGGGAGCTGCGAGGCGAGAGCGACCAGCGCGTCTCGCCCGTGATGGTGTTGAAGTAGTAGACGACGCCCGTCTCCGCATCTGCGTGCTCTTCCCAAACGGTGCCAATGGCGCGCGTCTTTGTAAACCGCCGCGCCGAGAGCGCGTTCTTCTCGGACTGTTCATTGTACCACTCGAGGCCGGGCGACGGCGATGCCTTGGTCACGGGCACATCAAAGTCGTCGGGTTTCGTCCATCGGCACTCGGTCGTGAGCTGGTTGTAGTAGTATGCTAGCTGGTACGATTCATCATAGCACTCGGTCCATGGCGACCGCGGCGACGCCCGCTTCACCAGCCGCTGGCTGTCGTCCACGTCGTAGCCGTAGTAGTACTGCCACGGTAGCGGCACGTCGTCGCGCTCGATGCTGTGCACCGACCGCCGACCGGTCGAGAGGCGGCCCGAGTGCGCGACCGTCGGTGGCAGCGTCCATGTCGACTCGCCAGTCGCAGGGTCGTAGTAGTACGTCGTGTTGGTCACCGGATCCAAATGCTCTTCCCAGGCGCCGATGCGCCGGGTTCGCACCGCCCGCTGCGTCAAATCGCCCTTGCTTTGCGCCTCAAAGACGTCGCGGGAGCTCGTGGTTGCCTCGGGCGGCTCCCACCGGTACTCGCGAGTCTCGCGGTTGTAGTAGTAGAACGCATTGGTCGTCTCGTCGCGGCACTGGTACCACGACGTGCCCTTGTACGGCGGCACAAACGTGTCGCCAAAGATGTGCATCGCGAGCGGCCGCACACGCCGCGTCTCTTGGCTCCACGCGTTGACGTAGTAGAGCCGGTCGAGGACGGGATCATAGAGCTCGATCCAGCGGTTCGAACCTTCGGCGACGGCCGCGCGGACTCGGTACCCCGAAAGAGCCGCTGCAGCGCAATCGCACCTCCGCGTTGGGCACGCACTTGGTGTTGGAGGCGACTCACGCGGCTCGCCTTGGTCTTGCGCTCGACGCCTTCGGTGAGCGGCTGCAGCTCTCGCTTGGCGAAGCGCAGCTGCTTCTCGCTCTCGTTGAGCTCGGCGACCGCGAGCTCGAGGTTGCGGCTCTCGACCGCGACGAGCATGCGCTTCTTCTGGAGCTGGTCCGCGAGCTGTGCTTGGAGGTACCGCGTGAGGTACCGCTGCTTGGCACCCGTGATCCGTGCCGAGTCGTGAAATTTTGATTTGATCGTCATGGTCTTCTCGAGCTCACTCGCGATCGCAACCTAACGACATTGGAAGCTTGAAGTCATTGAGATAAGCGGCGCACCTCGTCGGCTTGGTTGGTGGCGAGCGTCGACTGAAGAGTCTCGACCGACGTCTTGAGCCCGGCAACCGCCTTTTCAAATTTGGTGATGCGCACGTAAAGCGGCTTGGCTTGGCCCTCGAGCTTGCGCAGCTCGATTTGCACTTCCCGGGCTTCGCGCCCTTTGTGGCCGCGGAACACGCGCTGGATCGTTGTCGCGCCGCGTTCGCGCGAGAGCTTGAGCCGGAGCACCTCTTTCATCGCGCGGAGGAGCCCACGCGTCAGGAACGCGCGGCATCGGGTCTGAATCACGCGCGCGGCCTCGTGCTCGCGTCGACGCAGGTGCACAAGTCCGAGCAGGATGGCCCCGAGATGCTTGTCACGCGTGCCGCGCCAGTGTTTCTGGATGCAAACGACCGCGCGGAGCTTGGCGGCCTCGGCCTCTTCGGCGGCGACGACCTTGGCGTGTTGGCGCGTCTGGAAGCGGCGGTACGAGGCTTGCATCTTGGTTGCTTTCGCGTGCTGGTTTTGGAGTTCTTGCAGCTGGAGAAGGCGAAGCTGATATGCTTTTCGCCCGCGATGGCCGCGGTAGACGCGTTGAAGCATCGCCGCCGCGACCCGCTCCTTCTCGCGCTGAAGCCGTGCAGCCTCGCGCATCTCGCGTAGGAGGAGGCAGTCGCCCCGCCCTTTGTGCCCACGATACATTTGCTGGACTTTGATGGCGGCGAGTTCGAGAAGGGCCGCGCGCCGCGCCTGGAGCTGGGCATGGGCGGCCTTGCGCGCGCGCATCTGCGCGACGCGCCGGCGTCCCTTGTGCCCGCGGTACATCTACATCAGCACGTCAGTCTCTTATCTGAAAACATCCAAGTCGAGAACGCTACTTTTTGAAAGATGACGGCGGCCGCTTCTTGGCTGTTGCGAATGCGCAAGAGCCGTCGCGCGCGCCGACACATGCGTCGCACGAGGCACTGGCGGTAGGCGCGTTGAATGATCGTTGCCATCTCGAGCTGGAGGCGGGCGAGAAGCATCTGGCGGTACGCGCTGCGGGCGAGCCACCCTCGGATGCGCGCCTGGATCGTGGGCAGCGTCGTGCGCTCAACGCGCCGCAACTTGGCGCCGTACACCCCGCCGCGCGCGAGGCACCCACGCATGACGGCTTGGATGTGGATCGCGCTTTGGCGCTCCAGAATCCGCCGCTCTTTCTATCGCCATGTGTATCAACACGGCAGCGCAAGGACGAAGACGTACGCGCAGCTGGAGGTCCATGGCGTTCGGCAGCGGCTCAATGCCAAAGAAGGCACTCGACCAGTCGACAAATTCAAGTCGCGCGACCAACTACGCTGCATAAGAGAGATAAAAATGGGAGACGACGCACCTCGTGGAGGTAGCGTCGACGAATGTGTGGGCAGTCGGTCATGTTGAGGGTAAAGAGCTTGGTGCATTGCGTCGTGATGGCGTCGATGCCGGCCTCGGTGATGCGAGTGCAGTTGACAAGGGACAGCGATGTGAGCGACCGCAAGTGGTCGCCAAGCGTCCGCAACACCTAGCATGCTTCATGTCCTCCTCCGTTTCAACTTGTATGAGCCATCTACCTTGTCGTTGACGTGCTGGCAGTCCGAGACGTTGAGGTGCGTGAGCGATGTGCAGTGCTGCGCGAGCGCCGCGATGCCTCGGTTCGAGAGATTCGGGCTCCCGCTAATGTCAAGCCACACGAGCTCCTTGCACGACGTGGCGAGCAAAACCAGATCTTCGTTGCGCGTTTTGACGCAGCCCGCGAGCGAGAGCCGCATGAGCGCGTGGCACTTAGAGGCCAGCTCCTGGATCGAGACGCTGCTTACGTCGCGACAGCCCGTGAGCTTGAGCGTCGAGAGGCGCGGGCAACCGTTGGCGATCGCGCGGATGCCCATGTCACGCACGTGCCGACAGCCAAAGAGGTCTAAATGCTTGAGGTTCCCGCACCACTTGCCGAGCTCGAGGAGCGCCTTGTCGCCAAACTCGCCGACGTGGTGACACTCGGAGACGTCGATGTACGTGAGGCCTTTGCAGCACTGCGCAATCTTGGCGATACCGATGTCGGTCACGTGCGGGCAGCGCGCAAGGATGAACGTCTCGATCATCCAGCAGCCCGCCGCCAGCGTCGCAAGCGCGAGGTCGCTTAGCTGCTTGCAGTCACTCAGATCCACGGTCACGAGTTTGCAGTTGTGGGCGAGCACGCGCAGACCGAGGTCGGTGATGCGCTCGCATTGGCTCATGTAAATACCCGTCAGCGACGGACAGTGCTTGGCAATCGCCCTACGCTACGATTCAAAGACTCGACTTGCAGGCGATTGGAGTACCACAAACATGCATCCGAGACGTCGATGCAGTGCGAGAGCCGAAGGGTTTGAAGACCTGGCAGCATGCGCGCCACCTCCTGCACGTCGGCGTCCGTGATGGCGCGGCCCGTGTCAACAGCGTGTTTGTGCAAGTCAATGTCGCTGCGAAAGGTGCCCATGTCGTCGGCCAGAAAGTTCTGCACGAACGACCGCATGCGCCTAGTCTTGCAGGTTTGAAAACGACCACAATCATACATCGCACCGAGGGCTCTTGCCGTCGCTTCGGAGCGGCTGCAGCTGCGTATTGACACCCGGCGAGCGCGGCCGCTGCGTATTGACACCCGGCGAGCGCGGCCGCTTCTTTGCCCACGACGTCGCCGCTGTCGACTTGCTTGATGGCAGGGCGGCGACGGGGTCGTGCCACACCTCGAGCGGGCGGCCCGCCGGCCGTGTGAAGAGCAGCGCCGCATCGGGCAGGCCCTGCACCTTCTCATCGAGGCCATTGCTGTCGACGCGCGTCGGGTCATCGCCGATCGGCGCGCGCTGAATCGGCGGCATGCGCAGCGTCGGCTTGGCCTCGTCGCGTGGCATCGTGCCCTTTCGGAGTGGCGCGCACCTCTATAAATTGATATCGCACTATGCCGTCTGGCAGGTACACGCCGGAATCCAGAACAAGTCGCAGCATGGTCGACATCAACATCATGGGTCGCATGAAGGCGACGGGACGATGGCTCATGCAGATGGCGTAGAGAAGGCGACGTCGGGCGAGGTGCTGCATGACTTTGGCGCGCTCAATACGCTCCTCTTCGTCATCATCCTCGGCATGTGCATCGTCTGCGCCTACTTGATCAAGGAGTACCGGTTCTACTACCTGCCCGAGTCGGGCGCCGCCATGATTGTCGGGCTCATCGTCGGCGCATGGTACTGTCTTGCGCAGTAGCGAGGACAATGCGACTGCGTGTATTAGCGCGCGCCTCTTTTACCCAAGCCGCAAGGAAATGGAGTTCCTGCGCTTCAACGTACGTGCGTCGTCATGGCGAGCAGGAGGCTCATGCACTGTGGGAGTAGAAGCTGCTCTTTTACTTCTTCCTACTGCCACCCATCATCTTTGAAGCTGGCTACTCGCTCCATCGGGTACAGTCGCGCGACGGTCGTCCTATATGAGCTCACTTTTGGCTAGAAAAACTTTTTCGACAACTTCAGGTAGACGACCTTTCGAGCTTGCGTTGTCTGCATCCTGCGTAGCACGATCCTGCTCTACGCCGTGCTGGGCACCATGGTCTCGACGTTCATTGTCGGCTTCTTGACGTTTTACGCTGGCCAGGTAAGGTCTTCTTTCCAGGTGGTAGGGACATGACGCCAACTCTATTAGCTCGGGTGGATCTCGATCGATACATCGAGTCCTTTGGAGGCGCTACTGTTCGGTGCGCTCATCTCGGCGGTCGATCCTGTCGCGACACTCTCGATTCTTGGCAACCCCGAACTCAACCTCGACCCGCTCTTGTACAGCCTCGTGTTTGGCGAGAGTGTCCTCAACGACGCCGTCTCGATCGTGCTCTTCAACACCTTTCTCAAGGTCTTTAGCATCGTGTGCTTGGGTTGTGGACATCGTTCTTTTTTCTAGTTTTACGAGTCGGGGCATGAGTTCACGCCGCTTGCGGTCGGCATGCTGCTTATCGAGTTTACCTTGATCTCGCTCGGGTCGGTCGCGTGTGGCTTCGTCACGGGGTACGATCCGTGGTGCGTGTGGTACTGGAACTGTGCGCTAGACTGGGCTGCTCGCTCCTCTGCAAGAACACCAACATCAAGAAGTACCCCAAGTACGAGATTGCGCTCCTCTTTCTGTTTGCGTACGGGTCGTACTCGCTGGCCGAAGTCATGAAGCTATCGGGCATCATGTCGCTCTTCTTCTGCGGTATAACGATGGCCCACTACAACACACACAACCTCTCGCCGTCGTCCCAGGTCCTCGACGATCCCCCACATCCACCGCCGTACAAAAGCGATGCGTGTAGGTGACGGCCGAGTCGATCTTCCAGAGCTTTGCCCTCGCGGCCGAGTTTTTCGTGTTTCTATACATGGGCATGGGCATCTGCGTCGGCCAATTCGGCCGGTGGGACATCACGTTCATGGTGCTTGCGATCCTCTTTTGCCTCATTGCGCGGCTCTTCAACATCTTCCCGTTCAGTTGGCTCGCCAACCTGGGGTACCACGCGCCATATCTTTGTCGATGGACGACGACGCGTCTCGTAGGCGGTCGCAGAAAATCCCATTTCAAATGCAAGTGGTCCTCTGGTTTGCAGGGCTCCGTGGCGCAATCGCGTTTGCCTTGTCCCAGTACGCGACACCCAAATCGTGGATCCAACTCAACGCATGCTCGATATGTAGGGACATGCCCGGCGCCAACCGCGAGGTGTACACGACGACGACACTCACCGGTTTGTCGCGCGGTGCTGGATGCAGCCTGTCATGATACACGTGGCTAGTGGTCATTTTCACCACGATTGTGTGCGGCGGCTTGACCGAGCCCTTGCTCAAGCAGACCAAACTCAAGGTATGAAATACAGATCCACGCTCTAGCTACTACCTTCTACATGCGCAGAAGGACGACGACGACGACGAGGACGACGGTGAGGACGCTGCTGCTTGTGCCGAAGACGAGTGCGGTCTCTTGTCATCGACCGAGGTACGACGCTGCCTGCGTTTGTGTCTGAACCATTGGTGGTTGCAGGTGTCGGACCACGCCGATGTGTCGCCACTTCAAGTCCCGCGCCGTCGCCAGTCGTCGATCAATGAGCGTGCTGCTTCGCCAAGCTACCTTGGGTCGTTCTGGGGCAACGTACACGCCGTTGTCCGTCTCGTCCGGCGCTGAGTTTTGTGTGTTAGATTGACGAAACCTACCTCAAGCCCGTCTTTGGAGGCCAATCCCGCCGAGCATGTGTACGTCCAAGCAACATATTGCCTCGCATTGGACAATATGCTCGACTAGGTCGACGGCGACGCCCACCACGAGTAACAAGAAGATACTCTTTCGCGTTAACGCACAGAGCGCAATTTGGTGCCTTGTTGGATCTGCGCCAGCAGATTGGCGCGCGCCGGTGGCACACTGACCACGGGTGCTGCCAGTTGCGGCTTGTCGCATGTCGGCGGCGGCGGCGGTGGCTCGATCCCCTCGGGCGTCCGCGGCGCGTCGGCCTTTTTCTTGTCTTTATGCTTCTTTTTGGACGTCGTCGGCGTCGTCACGGAGCTCACAGCGTCGGTCTTAAGTGCGCGTGACGTCGCTCTGAGCTTGGGCTTGGTCGGTGCCTTTGGCTTGTCCTACTCAATTCCAATCGTGCAGCTGTGTACCAGGACCATTCGACCTGACGCGGCGTCCGCGCGCGTGCCTCTTTCTTTGTCAAAACGACATCCTAGCCCGACGAGTGGTGAGTGCGGTACTCCTCGGCTAGTACGCGATCGACATACCTCGTGGCTGCAGTGCGTCTCAAACTCAAAAAGCCCTAGCAGGATTATTGTTGTTGCTACTTTGTCGTTGATCGTCGATACCTTGAGCGCCGCATTGCACGTGGGCGTAAGAAAGGCCACGGCGTCCCGGATCTCGACGACCTGTAGCAGCAGCATGGGATCTCTCCCTCCATGAATTCTAGACGACGCTACCTTGCAGAGGTACGTGTCGAGGGCCGTCCGGCGTTGAGCGAGGAAGGCGTCCTCCAGCGCGTGCCCGAGCAGCGTCCGGAGGACGTCGCGCTTTTGGTGCAGAAACGGAATCCCGGCCATTTGCTTGGGCAACTCGGTGCGCAAGACGTTATCGAGCGCTGCAAAGTGGGCAAACCGGTGCCAGACGACCCACTCGATCGACAAGTGGCGCGCGTACGCGACGTTGAAGAAGCGGCACGCGCACTGCACCTTGTACTCCTACGCACGCGCCATATATTGACACGTCGGTTCGCTTCGAGTGTCCGACTACCGCGTAACCTGCGTCCACTCGCACATCGGCGACGCGCGCGGCAAAGGTGAAGTCGTCGCTCTCTTGCTTGGCAAACGTTGCGTGCTGGCGCGGGCCATGCGACGCGACGTGCAGCAATTTGGCACTCCACGCCTTCTTCGCGGCCAGGTCCGCAACACCGAGACAGACGACGTCGCCCGTCGAGAGGTGCAGCAGAATGCAGTAGGGCATCGCGTCCATGGCAATGCCATGCGTGGGCGCACCCGGAAGCGGCGTCGAGACGTCGGCGCCGTGCAACGGAAGTGCCCATTTGGTCTCGGCAATCGTGTGGTCCTACGAGAGCGCCACTATCGCCTTGGTTGATACGGTGGCAGTCGCCGTACGCGGTAGCAGAAGAGCTGCGCCGAGATGTCGTCGAGCTTGACGTAGCGCGCGTGCCACGCGCGGTCGGTCGCGGCCGTCGACGCAACGTGGATCGGGCCTTCCATCGGCAACGGAAAAAATGTACGACCATCTGAAACGCACATTTTGACCATCCATATCACAACGATTGCTTGGGTACTAGTGGAAGCCAGCAACAACGCAGTGACCCATCGGACAACAGAAGGTTCAATGCCAACGATCCACCGTTTGTGGACCGTCTGCCTGGCATTTGAACAGTTCATACGACGAGGTTGTTGAGTGCCCAGTCGTCATAGACACGACAGGCGACCAGCGACAAATGATTGAAGTTGCAGTTGGACAATGGGTAGGTATGCAAGGTCGTATGATCTGGGACGGCTACTGCAACTCTGGCGCCAGCGGTTCCTCCTGCTTTCCAATGCGATCCAAAGATGGCAGGATATTCTTGCAATCGTTGGGATTTGCATTATGTGCCACTTTCAAGGGCCATATGATATGCGCATTAGGACCCTCGGTATCGATCCCAGGACCTCGCTCCAGACGATCCGACCGTTGAGGTTTTTTCTTGGAAAATCGTGACGGAGCGTGTCGCTCGCACGCTCGTTGTTCGAGGTTTCGGGCGGCATGCGCCAATCACACGGCGCGGCTTGACCGAACATCGACCCAACCCTACCTCGTTGACCGTCTGTCTTTGCCACCTTGAAGCTGGTCGCGAGTTCTCGACTGTTTTCTCAACACCCACGTATCCTTTTCTGATCGGTCATTTTCCATTTCGCCACGTTGTGAAGATGATGCCATTCAAGACCACCGAGGCTGGAGCTGACCCCGTCACCTGCGCCTCGACGATCGCTGCGCTCACGCGCACCTTTTTCATGCCGCTCTGGAAGCCCTGCTACTGGTCGTTGACCAACTCGATGCTCCGCGTGGGCGCTACCAAGCAGGACGTCGAGCTCGGCCACCGCATCAAGACGTACACGGTCGTTCGAGGCACCAAGTGGGACGAAAAACCCTTTGGCCTGCAGATCGAGACCATCGAGGCCGGCACCATGTACGCATGCTTGTCCACCAAGTCGCTCTGGGCAGCATGGATCCACGCCTTCTTGCTTCTGGACCTCAAGCGCGGTCTGCACCGAAGTCTCTCGGAGATCCCGCTGCCGTCCAACCACCAGGAACCCGTGTTGGATCAAAAGCGACGCGTTTCGTTCGCCGGTTTTGTGCAAGTGCGCGAGATTCCCGCGCTCTCGGACGACGAATCCGACGAGCTCTTTTACAACAAGTCGGAGCTCCTTGCCTTCAAAATCATGGCGACGCAGCTGCGCACGAGCTTTGCCAGCGTGCACTACTGAGCTGCAGCCGTCGAACCTATGTGTACCATTAGAACTAACTTATTGAGTATCTTGACATGCAAAATAAAATCAAGGGATGGGTTTGCCTTGTGATGTACGTGCGTGCGTGGAGTAGTTGTAGACACAAGTCTATCGCCCGCTGGGGAGGCTTATAACTCCTTCTACGGCGCTGATGGTGGCGTCAAGCGAGCACATCACGACTCTCACAGGCTTCTATGGTTTTACCCAGCCCCTCTCATTACCTGTTTTCCACACGACGCTGGGTTTTTCCCGAGGTTTCTTCAGTGTTTCCATGTCGCCGTACTTGATCGGGGCAATTTGTGGACTCGAAGGTTTTGTTGTTTGCATAGGGCTGATTGTCGTCGAAGCAATGAAGATCCCTCAATTATTCGTAGCAATCGTGGAGTCGAAAGTGCCAATGTCCAAAGCAACCCATTGAGTGCCTCAATGGGCGTCAATCCTCAACCCTGCTCGACACCAAAGGGCGTAACATTCGGATGCTTCGCTGTTTTACGTGTGGTTTAGCGCACGCGTTCAGCAGAAATCACGGAACGGAAATAGAGAGAGGTCGCAGATCCCCTTTCAAGGAGGTGCAGGAATCGAGCGAGACCATAGGGTAGTAGCTGGCGTCCCTCGGGTCGTGCTTGCTACCTATACCTCCACATCAGCCAATAACCCGTTGATTAGATTGCTAGATTTGCTGCAATATAGACGTGGAAGTAGTTCTTGTCTCTGAGCTCAATGTGAGAAAAATTGTTGCTAGATGTAGGGCCTACCGAAACATCAAATTGGAGATGCCTCAAGACGGCGGACAAAAACCCTAACCTCAGACCGATGACTTAGCCCAATGAGTGCCACGAAACACAGAAAGCCAAGCGCGTGGATAGAAGAATCAGTGCACGACAACCGTGCCCTTCGTTGCACCCAGTGGCCGCGTTTCATGGCTCGTTTCTCAACCACGCTCCTCCAACACAGCTAGTCGAGCTACGTACTAGGTGTCCTGGTTGTACAAACGTACTACTAGACGGCGCGTGTTCGACACTCTCTGTGGTGCTGGTGTTGATGGCATGAGCTCTCGGGTGTGCTGCAAGAACGCATGCGCATTTTGATCAGCACGCGGTGACAGGCTTTTTAAAGCGTTGGCATCCCGACCACGGCGCCGGTATGACTAAAGCTACCTGTGCCCAAGAAAACCAACGACATAGCTGCGTCGGGGCAAAGCTGCAGTGTGCAGCACGTTGTACGGAGGCGCAAACCTGGTTCGCATTATGGATTCACCCACGCTGCGTTAGCTCGGACCAAGGAAATTCCCTTGGCTCGGACGGACGAGCCGCACCCAGGCGCGTGCACGGTTGGTTCAAAGTCGTAGCATCCATGTCAGTCCGCGGGATCATCATCTCACACGAATGTGCCCTTTCCGCCCACCGAGTTGCGCTTTGCAGCCGGTTCAACACTGCTCGGACAGTCGCGATGTGGAGTTTTTCCTCATTTACGCAGCGTCCATCTAGAATCACTGTTCGATCGGGTGGTCAAATCCATCGTAACAGCCACTATTAGACGCCCTCGGTCTCGTCACGGGCCGTGTCGCACGTTTCACTCGGACACGGCTGCGCCAGACACTCGACAACGGGACCACCACAGCTTTTGCGACATGCTTCCTGGAACATCGCTCTCGGGCCGATTTAATTTTGCTAGTTCTGTGACGAGCATACATTGTCTGGGACGTTGGCTAGGAATATTTTACTCCTACGCACTCTAGTTTCTATTTTATGAAAATTCCGAGTTCCTGCTCGAACTTCTAACCATGGACCAAAAGATGTCATGCGAGATTCATGATCACTTCATCAATTTCTCCGTCAAGACGACATCATTCCAGCACCACACAATGACGGGGGCAATCAAGTGCGAGTCAACCCTCGAGGCCAAGACCAAGAAGTTTGTCATCTCGACGTGGGGCAGAAGCTACTGGCGCCTGCACGATCGCCTACTCGTGACCGCCAAGACCAAGGCCGACGTCGACGCCCGCCACCACGTCAAGCACTACACGGTGATCGAGGGCTGCACTTGGCAAGGGCATGAGATGGGTTTCCGCGTAGCGACCAAGGAAGCGGGCTGGCTGCACTTTCGAGCCGGCTCCAAAGCCGAGTGGGCCCATTGGATTCACGCTCTCCTGAGTCTTCCAATTATCAAGGTACGTGCTCTACCAACGACGAGCTCCAACTCGAACTCGACGTCCACGGCCTGTGACGACGACGAGGTTGGAAGTTCGCACTTGGTTTCGTTTGCCGGTACCATTCGTGTGCGCGAGATTCCCGCCATGACCGACGACGAAGCCGACGACCTCTTCTACACCAATGTCGAGATTCAAGGTTTTCGCCGCATGGCAGAATTGATGGGGCAGTTTAAATTCAGGTTAATTCGAGGTTAAACTTGACAATATATTTACAGCCACTAATGTTGCTCGGTATTTTGTGCTCGCAACTTTTTCGGCAAACTAATGAGAGTGCCATGCGTGTGTGTAAGCTAGTACGGACGAGATTTGCTGCCATCTCAGATTGACTGCCCACCACCTGCCCTTCTGCCACGTCATATAATCCGGACGAAACCGGATAAGATCTCCAGACCCAGCCAGCCGCATCGACCGACCAATCGATCGAAGCCCACCGCCGGAACTTCAGTGAGCTTCTAGTACGCGGTGGTCGAGGGCGTGTCTGACCGGAGCGGCGGTTCAAAAGTGTGGGTATCTACGCTTTGTTTACATGTACGGCTCGAACTTCGGCGGCAAGCTCATCGCTCCTCACTGTGATCGTGCCGCGCGTTTGGATACTGAGCGTCTCCATACCGGTAACTATCATCATACCTTGGCGCCAAAGAGGATCTCGATCTCCGTGGCCGCGGAAGCAGGGGCGCCCAGGAGCAGCACCTGCCCACAACGAGCGCGCCAAATGTCACGCGTGCCGGCTGGCGCTAGGATAAAAATGCTTGTCGGTGAGCCTCGAACGCCAATCACAACACTACATAGCATGAATGTGTGTCAATGCCACACTGCCGAAAATAACGTGGCACGTCAGGAGGCTCACAATGCACTCAGCACCATTGTCCCTGGGCATGTCGCCTTGCTACTGGGCATGGGTACGAACAAGTCTTGCCAAGCGACGTGGTATCGACCGTGTGCCGCGATTGTCTTCACGTCCTTGAAAAGCAACGGTGTCCAATGCACGGTGTTGCACACGAAAGTTGCTGCCTTCTTTGGGGCGTTACCGCTACCGATGGCCGCGCGACTCGAGGCGTTCAGCGCTCGCAATGACGACCTCGTCATCGCTTCTTACAGCTGATGGCAAGATGAAGTCATGACCTCGCCTCAGCTGCAGGTCGGCATAGACAATGGGTCGCAGGGTATCGTGGCGCCCAAACACGCCTCCAACGAGGCAAAATAGTGTAGTTTTGTCCCATCTTACGCGACTCAGAGTCGTGATGGACCGGCAACGTGGGTTAGGTTGTGCGTTGATGGGTCCCTTGAGGCGTCCGTAAGACAGCGATATTTCGAGTCGAAGGTATTTTTGCACGCAGTGGCAGAGAAGAGCCAACTCTGGTAAAAACCTGCCGCCCCCACCAAACACACACGCATTACTTCTCGACACTATGATCGATGGAGCCCACTTTGAGACCTCATGGGTGCCCTGTACATGGCGGAGGGATACGGCAACCGTTTTCCTCGGCCAAGAGAGATCCGTTGCGTTAGCTCCACCGCTACATGTTGTAGGGAGTACCGGTAGTAGACTGTAGTAGGCCTTTTTAGACGTGACAGTTTGATTCATTCTTATCTTAGGGCGGAACGTACATGGTCTGGCACTGGGCACGGGTACAGGAAGAATTGGGTGCATGCTCACGTCAGTGCACCTCAAGCGCCATCACAAGCATTCGAGTGTGGGATGCAGCCGACGTTCCGCTCCTGTACTTCAAATAGTAATGAGATATGTCGTGGGCCGGCCAATTGGGCCGGCCCTACGACGCCGGCTACTGCAATGAGGCATAGCCAACGCCATTGAAAATACGCATTTGCAAGGTACTGCACCGATGTTCGTCGATCACCGTGAGCTTCTTTGTGTGCGGGCGACGCACACGCATGCGGAGCACGCAGATCTATGCTTCGTGCAAGCGAATAGCGTTTACACTACATTACGGCATGATCCGAATCCATCAAATCAGTGAATGTACGATCGCTACGAAGCGACGAGAACGCAAGCTGGAAGCATGACGCGCCGTGGCTCAAACTTGAAGCGGTTGATAGTAGCTCGTTTGTGGCTATTTCTTTTAAAAGAGAAGACGGTCCGTGCTCCGAAACTTCCTGCATCGGGAGAAGGACGTCGGAGAGGTGTGGCAACTGAGCTGCAGGGGCATTTCAGAAAAGCGCGTCGAAGACGGCGTGCCGTTCCAAGGATCTTTTCGCAGTGCATCCTTGAACTTCCGTGGAATTTGAAACGTCCCCTTTTACGTCCAACGCGAAGGCGGCATACAAAGGCACTGTACACTCTACATAAACACGTCGCGTGGTGTCTATTTTTATTTTGGGTTTTGAGTTTGCTACCAGCAGCTGGATTCGCACACACCAAGTGTGATAAAATGACGCTTGGTTTTTAAAAAGCTTCCGATTTGTATGACGGTGCACATAAAAGGAAAAAATGAAACTCAACTTCATACAAACGCGAGCCGAATCTCACTGGTGGGACCGGCATCTCTCAAGTCGACATCCGTGCATGACACACAGCAATCCGAAATAGCATGAAGCACGATGCCATCCTCTGCGCGTCGCCCGTCGACATCAAGGCCAAGAAGTGCATGGTCTCCTACTGGAGGGTCCGCTTCTGGGTCCTCCGCAACGGCGAGCTCCTCGAGGCCGCCTCCCAGCAAGACATCGAGCGCCGCCACAAGGTCACGCGCTACACCGTCCTTCGCGGCGCCAAGTGGCTCGAGCGCCCGTACGGCATCCAAGTCGAGACGAAGGAGGCCGGCTGGCTCTACGCCAACATCGCGATGAAGGCCACGTGGGCCATGTGGGTCCACGGGCTCCTGCTCCTCGACCTCGCGTACGGTCCGAAGGGCAGTGTCTCGTCCGAAGATCCCTCGTGCCCGTCCGAAGACGACCTCGAAGCGACGCCAGGCCCGCGAGTACGCCACGTCGCCTTCTCGGGCCAAGTCCGCGTGCGCAAGATTCCGGCGCTCACCGACGAAGAGGCCATGGACCTCTTCTACACCAAGTCCGAAATGGAAGCGTTCAAGGGCAGCGTGACGACATTAAAAAGTTTTACGGTCGTCATGGTCTAGTGTCCGCCCCGCTATATTATTCCGCGGCCATTGCCGTCGCTTAGGTTCCTAGTTGCATTGCTTTAAGCACCCCTCTTATGTATTGCGCGTCACGCTGGCATCTCGTCAGCACCGTGCGCCATTTTCATTCTTTATCCCGTTCGCCTTCTCCAGAACAGACCGCCACGAACCTTCGCCTACACATGGCACGCAGCTGCTGCAGAGCCGACTTCCGGCAAGCATTCTTCTTGGCGGACTCAGCATGGCGGACCTGCGATCGACCGCGCGTCACCACACTATATTACGATACCTAAACCAACACTATATTCCGCTTGATGAATACTATTCAAGTATCGATCCGAAAATTGTGTGAGTTTCGAGACACCACACGCCGCCGCAGCATGGAGGAAGGCCGCGTGCACTTTGAGGACCAGCCGCAGCGCCATGCGGCGATCCTCGAAGCTTTGGATCACGTCGAGAATGTATACCGCTGCATGTTGCTGCTCGTTCATCTCATGCATGCTTGTGGTGTAGCAACTCGTGCTGGCGGTGCAGACGGCTGGCAGCGCCATGGAGCACATGGCCGCGATCACGACCGAGGGCCGCGACGCCGAGTTCCAGCGCACGTCGACCGAGTTCCTCCAGCTCGTGCGCAGCATCCACGCCGAGCTCGCTAAGCACGCGCACCTTGTGCAGGACTACCGCAGCTACGGCCGCAGCACGTACGGCGTCGAGAAGGACGCGGACCTGGCGCGCAAGAAGGTCAAGATGATCTTGGCGACGCTGCGCGACCTGCGGCGATACACGGACGAGCACATGAGCACCGAATAAGATGACGAAGATGATGAAGAAGAGCATGATTAGTTAGATCAAGCGCTTGGGGAGGCGGTAGTGCTGAAAGTGCTCGTGCAGCTTTTGCACGTAAAAGTGGTCGTCGTGGAGCAGCGTCGGCGTCGCGTCGAGGACGTCGTCGTCAAACATGGGCTATCATCGCGAGCGTCGAACCCAGTGGAAGAGGAGAAGGGACGTACGTCGTTGGCGACGTTGCCAATCGCCTCCTCAACCTGCACCTCGATAGCCTTGAGCTCCGCGTCGTGGGCGCCGGCCTCGTCGTTGCCATCGTGGCGCAGGATCGGCCAGCCCAAGCGGTGGAGGTAGCGCCAAATCTTCTTCTGGTGCAGTCCGTCGCCCATGAGCGCCTCCATGCACTCGCTAAATTCGTGCTCGTCGGCCGGCGACATGATGTCGGCAGCCTTCTCGACGAGCGCTGCATGCACCTCGTCGCACTCCCGCGCGCAAATCGCTGCCAGCGTCGCGTACGGGTCCTACTACGTGTCCACTCCCATGCATATTGCGTCTTCAAACCTTGTCAACGGCGCGGGCCGTCATGAGGAGGAGCGTGAACCAGGCCGCGTGCCACTTAAGCGACCCTTCGTTGGCGGCCAAGATGACGTACACCAAGATATCCATCGCGCCCAGTTGAATCTAGTCACATCGTACTTTATAGCGCTCTGATCGCCCGTAGGCTGCATGTGGCTCGCACGGCAATGTCGGCGATGCAGGGGCACTCGAAAATGATGCTGTCAAAGCAGCGGCAGAGGCGTAGGACCGGCGACTTGAGGTGCACGAAGCACTCGACTTCGACCAGCTCTTCTGCATCTTTGGGTACGTTGTGCTCTCTACGAGACACGATGACTGATCCATCTCGTCTTTGCGAATGCAAAGCGGACTTGACGACGGCGCAGCGGCGAAACCAGTCGAGCATGGCCGTGCAGAGTGGGACCTACAGTACGTCGCGATGCATGATGTGTGTGCCATGCTTCGTACATGCAGCGACGGATTCTCAAGGATGATGTGGATGAGCTCGAGCGCTTCGTACTGGACGCGGTAGTTGATGTGGTGCAGGAGTGCCATCGAGACAGCGATCGAGTGGTCGAGCTGGAGCTTGCAAAAACGCGCGTCAAAATACGGCGATTTCTTTGAAATCAATTCGCGCAAAATCTAGCAACAACGACACACCTTTCAAAAAGGGCGTTGGTTGCGTCGAAGTGAGTACTTGGGACCCAAGGCACTTGACGCTGTCGGTGGGCTGGTCGATGAGAAACTCGAGCGCGGCGTACGTGGTCGCCATCGACGCCGGGTTGCCCGTGCTCTGCTCGATCAAGAAGCTCCGGCACGCGAGCCAGACCGGCGTCTCGCACGTTGCGTGCCCTAGCACACATAGCATACGTAGAGGTTACGCTATAGAGGGAGTCCATGAGTCGATATTATCGTCGTAAGAGCGTCTACCTCGCTGGTGTCGCAGACAATAGGGCTAGGTATGGCGACGCACCTCGCGCGATGCAGCTCTGGATCACACTGCGCTCGGCGTCGCACGAGCTAATGTACTCCTTGTACGTGCGACCCGCGCGGCCGATGTGCTGGAGGAGCGCGATGACTTGGACGCAGTCGGCCTCGAGCGCCACGTCACTCGCAAACGTGAGCACATCAAAAGGATGCGCACGCCGTCCATCTAGCATGTCGTGTCGTCATTTCCAGCACCGTATCAAGCAGTCGATACATCGATAAAGTCTTGGAGCAGGCTGTGGTTGGCATGCAGAAAGATCTGTAGTGCTTGGAGGTGCTGGGTGAGGCCAAAGCCGTCGGTGCAGCCAAGACGCAGCCACGACAGGATACGGGACAAGTAGAGCGTCGTGGTCGTGCCAAGCGCGTGCTCCAAGTCGAGAGGCCCCGACGTCGCGCCTCCGTACTGCGCCACGAACGCCTGCAAGTAGCTCTTGCGCTGCGCCCGCGTCGCTACGCCAGTCTCGTGTAGTAGGTATATGGCAGCATCCTCCTGCGTACCTTCGTCCCACTGCTTGAGCATAGCGTTTAAAAAGGCCACTCGAAACTCGAAACGACCAAAACGAATGATTTGGATTGATTTCAATTCGAATAAGGCCAATCGTCGCGCCGGACCTTCCCGATGTTCGCGCGCGTCCACACCACTTCTTGTGCTTGTGGATCCGGCTCGTTTGGAACTCGATCTGGAATGGATGCTTCTATTCGCTAACACTATAAATTCTTGATTCTTTCAAGCCAATCACGTTTATGACGTCTTAAATAGTGTGAGCACCATTTACCACAACGACGAGTAGCAGCCCACAGACGCGCCAGCGCCAAGTAGCAGCCAGGTATACCTCTCGACACACTTGTTGAATGACGTAAATGTCGTTTCCGGCGCTGCACGCAGCGCAATCACGCGCAAATCCGTTTTCCATTTTTCGAGGTGGTGGCAGAATTGCCCAAATACTTCACGTAACATCGCGGGGTTCCAAAGCTCCAAGGCCCTAAAACTGGCTGCCACAGCTGGCGATGGGTCTCGACCCGGTCTGCGACCAGCTTGTTGGTCGCCGTCGTTGCTTGGGCACTCACACCAAACTCGAAGTGCCGAGCGTCGGTTTTCACGAAATACGACATGCGATTTCGGTTGAAAATGCGTCGAAATCGCGGAAACCGAGGACGTCATCTCTTTTTGTTCATGTTAAATAGCGTGTTGCATGTGGCCGAGGGAGACAAAAGTGCGCGCGATACCGCTGCGTGATGAGGCCTTGCATCCCGTACAGTATTTCAGTATAGCGAAAAATCACACTATATCAAAATATTGTTTGCCGCTGTCATTTGCTCTCGCTACAGAGCTCGCACGACGACGTCACATAGCATGTTGGACTCCCCAAAGTGTGGTCTAACACTCTGGCAAGTATGGGCGATTTCATTTTCAAACTTCATTCTGGTCGATCCGCCGGCGCGGTGGGCATGTGCTGACCAAAATATGGTTATTTATGGTTGTAAATGGTAAACGCCAATAATGATGACCGGCGACGCCAGAAAGACGACGCCGAGGCTTCTCGGGCGCCACTGACGCTGCTGCATTGTGCTCGAGGAGACTCCATCAGCAATCTCTACGTACACACCATCATGAGGTGTCGCTTGGTCGCGATGCAGCGTTCCTCGTCAGCTCCCTCATTTTCGTCGACGCCATGCCAAAGCGTTTCAGCCAATCAGAGCGACAAGACTTTAGATTTGTGGCCAATCAGAGCGGCAAGGATTCCGCTTTCGAGCCAATCGTCAGTGTTCTTGCCGCACCGATCATCGTAGCCAGCCCAGGCACGTGGTACGTGGCAAGTCGTGCGCAGGCCTCAGGCCGAGGCGCTCACGCGACGTCGCTGTAGGTATGGCGCAGCCTATTTACGCGTGACGAGCCACCGAGTCAGCCTTTGGGCGGAGCCCTGGCCAATTTTTCGACGGTCTCTCTCGCCACGAGATCGCCTCCGTGATGCGCTCCTCCAAGCTCCCAAGGCCTGCGACGACGCTGCGAGCGATGGCTCGATGTCTAGCATCATGACCGCCGTGACGTCATGCGCTTGCGCGTCCAGAACGGTTATGGATATGGCCACATCCGATCCGACGGCGCGTCCACGCTCCGGTCGCTGCCGCCACACTCTACTAGTACGGTACGTACATCCCGTCAACGCTCGAATCGTGTCTCGACGTCGAGCCTGCATGCGGCTGCTTACGCCGGCCGTCGTGCGCTGCACTCGTTTTCATCGCCTTATCCTATTCTTCGTCCTTCGTGGCCGACAGCTCGCAGCCAACGTCGACACGCTCTACTGACGGCGGCAAGACACATGCCATCCGAATCCCCGAGCCACACGGAGATGTCAGGGACCTGAGTAGGCCGTGACGGCGGGCCTTGCCGTGATCATCAGGACGAGCGCCATGGCGCAGGGAATTCCTTCATTTTATATGCACTTTTTACTACCATGGTTCTTTGAAGGCCACTCGAAACGACCAAAACGAATGATTTGGATGGATTTCAATTTGAAAAAACCAAGTTTACCAGACGATGCACTTGTTGACGGGGTTCATGGGCGACCCGGCTTTGCACTGGAACGCGTCGGCGAACGCGGCCGAGTTGTAGAGCGGGCCATGGACGCGCCACTTGCCGGGCGAGTGCGGGTCCGTGTTGAGCAGCAGCGTCGCGGCGGCGTCCGACCGCTTCTCGCACCAGCCTTGCGCAAAGGCCGTAAAGTAGAGCTTCTTGTCGTCGTAGCCAATCTCGGCGATCGACGGCTCGGACGCCTTGGCGCGGAGGTACGCCAGGTACGCGAGCTTGAGGCCGCCGTTGTCAGCAATGTTTTCGCCCAGCGTGAGCTCGCCGTTGAGGTGCCCGAGGAGCGTCTTGCCGTCGAGGCCGAGCACCGGGAACGTCGAGTACTGGTCGGCGAGGCACTTGGCGTTCTTCTGGAACGTGGCCTTCACGGACGGCGACCACCAGTCAAAGAGCTGGCCGCTCGGGTCAAAGTTGCGGCCTTCGTCGTCAAAGCCGTGCGTGAGCTCGTGGCCCATGACCATGCCGATGCGCGCATAGTTGACCACCGACGGAAAGCGCTTGGCGTCGTAGAAAGGCGGCTGCAGAATCGCGGCCGGAAACACAATCTTGTTGGCGGTCGGGTCGTTGTACGCGTTCACCGTGAACGCGTTCATGCCCCACGCGGTCTCGTCGACAGGCTTGCCGATCAAATCGATGTTCTTGGTCATCTCGTAGCTCTTGAGCTTGGCGACATTGTCGTAGAAGGCCGTCGCGCTGACGTTGAACGGAAGGGCCGTGGCGTTCTCGGGGCCACCAATGAAGTTGCGGATCTTGGCGACCTTCTCGAGGCCGATGCTGCGCGTCGAGACGTCGAGCCGAGCGCATGCATGCCATTATGGACACGCGCGTGGACCCGTGCGACGACTTCTACACCTACGCATGCGGCTAGCTCCGAACGACCGACACGACAAGCGACAACAGCGCGTTCGGGCGTGTCACGACCTACGTCTTGGAACTCGTGCAAGCGGTCTTGACGCTGCCTTCCTTGGCATCCTATGCGACGCCCGAGACGTATATAGAGCACCTCGTCGAGTAGTACATGGCGAGCTTTGCCGTCGTGCCCGCGCTCGCAGCGACCAACATCACCGCCCTCGCGTTCGACGTTCTCTCATTTGAAACGCGCTTGGCCAGTGTCTCGGTGCCAGCGGAAGCGCTCTCGATCCGCGGTCGGCGTACCATCCCGTCACGATGCGTCAGATCCGCGCCACGTACCCTTACATTACGGTCTTTCTTGATGACATGCACGCCCTATCGAGCTACGTCTGGCTCTGGTTGCAGCTTCAACCAAAACAAAACGCCTGCTTTAGACGCACCAAAGTGCAAGTAGGCCGTCCGTGTCCATTGCGCTCGTGCAGGACGAGGCCCAGCGAACAACAACATTCAACGTGCAGAACCACCTGGCTGTGGGCTCTGTCAAGGGCGACGGCGACGAATGGCTGCGGTCCATGTTGCCAAGACGACCCAAGCGACGTCGGTTTACCAGTGGA